AATAAGGTAAGAATTCTTCTTCTCCTGCCCCCTTCCCCCACCAAGCTCTGAATTTTCACATCAATATTTATATTGCTATGTTAGCGTAGACACTACTTTCACCAGAAAGTGACCCTTTTCTATTCTTGATAGTTAGTCCTTTAATACCTGTAGACAAAGAACCTTTTGAGATGCCATGCAGGCTCTAACGTTCCGTAATAACTTGGAAATCTGTGATGGTTAGACAACTCTGTCCAGGAATGTGTTGGGAGCTGTGATATTTCTCTCATACTCACATTAGACACAGACATACTATCATGGAGCTAAAATTCATGGTGTAACGATATTGCACATTGACCTCATAATGCTGTCTGTATCAATTTCAACATTAATATAATGTAACTGTTTCCAGGTGGAAGCAAACCAACTTGTATACCTGTTTTTATTCCAGTCTTCTGAAAAATGCGTGCCATCTGTATTACCTCCAACTTTTAGGAACAAAATACATTAAGCAGAACCTCAAATAGTCAATAGAATCTGTGTCTTTTTCAGGATGTTTCTGAACTCTCTAAAAGAAAACAAGTTTTGAATTATAGAATCCATACATTTTTCAAACGCAAGCACCACCAGAGGAAATTGCTATTAATTTTCAAAACTCACTGTTATGCAGATATTTGGTGGAATCACGTGAATGTTCAACTATCAGCACTTTCAAGTGGTTTCACCTAATAGATCAAGTAATTTGTAAATCTCAGGCAACATTAACATAATTTTTTTCAATCCCTTTGCATCATTCTTTTTATTTTTATTTTTATTTATTTTTAATTTTTTAATTTTTTTTTTTTTTTTTTGAGACGGAGTTTCACTCTTGTTGCTCAGACTGGAGTGCAATGGCATGATCTTGGCTCACTGCAACCTCTGCCTCCTGGGTTCAAGAAATTGTCCCACCTCAGCCACCTGAGTAGCTGGGATTACAGGTGCCCACCATCACACCCAGCTAATTTTGTATTTTTAGTAGAGATGGGGTTTTGCCATGTTAGCCAGGCTGGTCTCCAACTCCTGACCTCAGGTGATCAATCTGTATCAGACCCCCACAGTGCTTACACCACGCCTGGCCCCTTTGCATCATTCTAAAACCATCTTTTCATTCTGATGGATAATTGCAACTGAAAACTTTCTAAACTTTACTAAGTATTTATTGCTACTATTTACATTTTTAATTATACTACTATAATTTTCTTTCTTACTATAGTAAGAAAGCTATTACTGATGACTATTGTAATCTCTGTTGATATTTACAATTGATATTTTTGCTCTTTGGTTTTAAGATAAATTCTTGACTGCATGAATATCAATAATAAAAAGATTTTCTGCCTGTGTAATGTTTCAAGGTTGTCAGCATGCTGTGCAAAAATTACCTTGAGCAATGCCTAGGACGCTCCATTGGAGGCAGGCATTATTATCACTCCAGTCCTTATACTAGACACTAGGCAAGCAATACCCATGTCACCTGGGTGTGGTGGCTCACACCTATAATCCCAGCACTTTGGAAGTCTGAGGTGGGCGGATCACCTGAGGTCAGGAGTTCAAGACCAGCCTGGGCAACATGGCAAAATCCCATCTCTACAAAAAGTACAAAAATTAGCCGGGCATGGTGGTGCACGCCTGTAATCCCAGCTATTCAGGAGGCTGAGGCAGGAGAATCGCTTGACCCCAGGAGGTGGAGGTTGCACTGAGCTGCCATTGCGCCACTGCACTCCAGTCTGGGCGACAGAGCAAGACTTTCATCTCAAACAAAACAAAACAAAAAAACAAAAAACCACAACAATAATAAAACCATCTTATGGAAGAAGAAACAGAGGCTCAGGAGGTGACCAGCTGTGAAGGGGTGTGGCTATACCCAGATCTAAAGAATCACAGCTGACTACGTGTATTCACTACATCTTTGTTAAGCAGCCTATCCAGGAGTGACTCAGTTATTGAAAAAAGTGCATTTCAGTATCATGCTCTGAATAAGACATTGCTCTTAGGATGCAGAATCCCTAGTTTCTTTCTCCCCTGCGTGCTCTACATAAATCCAGACCTTCTCAGGTGGCTTCCGTACCACAGTGAAGAGGAAGCTTATGGCCTCGGCCAAGTGTGGGCCCTGCTCCTCCACCAGGCTAACCTTCAGGGCTGGCTTGGTGCCTAAGATAGCCCACAGCTTGCTGCCCCTCAGCTGCTAGCCCAAAACCAACAGCAAGAAAGCAGACTGTAATGTGGAGGAGACTTTTTTTTATAATGAAATTTTGTTCCTAGGAGACTCTAAAAATTAATACCTTATTCTACTGTTCTTTTTGGTTATGTAAGATTATTTTCCAAAATGCTGGCAGCAATTGTCTTCTGCATTAACTAATTTTCTGTTGGTGATTATCAACCTGGTGGAAAGGCAGGATTGGCTAAATCGGGGCTTTCCACTCTTTAACATGCATACGCATCCTCTGAATGTTTTTTAAAAATACAGATTCTGATTCAGTAGGTCTAGGATGGCACCTGAGAGGCTGCATTTCTGGAAATCTCCAAGGGACTGGTCCGCAGACCACACTTTGAGTGGCATGGAACGAAAGTGTTTCAAACAGTCCTCGTGTCTGCCTGATGATCTGTGAGAATAGGATCAATCTAAAGATTAGTAGTGATTCTTTGTCTTGAAAACAATAACAACCAAAATGATTTCTAGTTGATTTTATTTTTCCCTATTTACTTTTTCTATGAGAGTATGAGAATTAAATGGAATTCTCTTTCCTAGTGTTTGGGAATAAATCGGGTGTTGAGTTAAATAAGCATCTCTCTCTCTCTCTCTCTCGCTGTCTTTCTCTCTCTCTCTCTCCCCCCCCCCCCCCCTTTTTCTCTGTCTGTCTCTCTTTCTCTCTCTGAACTCTAGAGAAATGCTGAGCTGTTGCCTTTTGGTCCTCCCCCGTCTCTGAATTTCCCCATCTACTCTTCTCTGCCTTTGCTTGATCCTTTTTCCCCCCATAAAGATTTGGGGTTTTTATTGACCGGAGACAGATTTTGGCAAGAATGTCCCAGTTATTTTAGTTTGTGCAGTTGGTCACATTCTTTTGAAATTAGCCTGAAATTAGATTACCGCTCAAGATAGCCATGAAATAATATCAGCGCTCGGTATTTAATTCTGAATTATCTGGCAACGCTGAATCAGCTCTGCCAAAATGGACATGGCCAGGGTCTCAGCAGTGATAGTGTTGCAGCCTGTTGGTTTTTGTTGTTGTTGTTGTTGTTGTTTTACTTTTTATTTTGAAACAAATACTATAAGAAGATGCACAAATAATAGTTTTGAGTGTACATCATCCAGCTTTCCTCAAAGATAACACCTTACATAACCATGGTACATTATGAAAATCAGGAAACTAGCATTGGCACGTATTATTAACTAAACTACAGACCTTATTTTGATTTTACCAGTTTTTACACGCACTCTTTTTTTGGGGGTGGGGGAGGGTATACAGTAGTATAAAGTTTTACATATCTGTGTCTAGATTTATGTAACCACCATCACAATCTTCCTGATTGCTAAAAGTTGGTGTTCTCCAGGATTCTGTCCTGAACACTATTCCGTGTTCATTCTCCACGTTGTCCCTGGGCCCTCTTATTGGTAATGGTGACTGTAACTATCTTTTCTATTTGGATAATTCTCAAATGTATAACCTTAACCTCTATTGAGCTCTATACCTCACCATTTCCTGGCCTACTTCTGGACACCCACTGACTATTTTATCTGTCCCATGAGCTCCAACATAGCCAAAATTGAACCTGTATTCCTTCATTTTTAAACTAAATAATCTCTATTTGAGGCATTAACACTTTGTGGTCCAAGTCGGAATTCCCAGGGATCACCTTAGAAGCATCCAGTCTCCCTAATCCATCTCCACATAACAAAAACAGCCAACACTCCTAGAGCAAGTACTGTGTGCCGGATACTGTCCCACACCCGCTCGAGGGATCAGCTCACTTTGTTCTGATGGCAGTCCCACACTTTGTCAGAAAAGAATCCAAGTTTCATGAAGCCTGAAACTTGTATAGTTTCCTGTGCCATTAAAGAAAAAGAATAGAAGGTTACAAATATTAGAATTAGTATTTATCAAGGGAAATATTTGGGCTAGTGCAAGTGAGGGGCCCTGAAAATTGACCTTCACTAGATTCATAATCTATCTGCCTTTGAGATAAATGCTATTCTTGTTGCCATTTTACAGTGAGACAATCAAGGAACACAAAGTTTGCAAAACTTAACTTGACCAAGGTCCTCCTGTCACAGGGGCCTCATTACCTCTTGCTGTGTTTTAACAGAGGCCTCCTATGTGACCTCTCTGCTGTTAATCAGCCCCCTTCGTCCATTCTCCACACTGACCCCAGAGGGATCTGCACACAGGGCCATGTCTCTCTCCTGATCCAAAGCTGTCACTGGTTCCTGGTCTCTTTTAGTGTAAGAGCTAAACTGTTTTTGCATGACTCCCTGGCTGTCCCCTCTGACACTGGAGGTTGCATGATGCTGAACTGCTAGGGGCTCCCACCAATGCCCCACACTTCCACTTCCTACTCCTTTTTATGTGCCCTTCTGCTGCCAGGACTGCTGTCCTCCCATCTCCTCTACACACTGCACTCTTTATCATTTTATCCAAAGTAGAAATTGCATTATTGGTTATTTTTAGCTTATAGGAGCAACAGATGGTTAAAGTAAAAAAAAAAAAAAAAAAAAATCATATAATGCAAAGGAAAAAAAAAGCACAAAGAATTGAGTAAAAACTACCAGATCTGTGGCCCCATTTTTTGGGATGAACCACCATTAAGTGTATAGTAGATATACTTTTCATTTTTCCTGCTCTGTGTGTGTGTGTGTGTGTGTGTGTTCTAGTCTATAAAATTGGGATATGTTACTATGTTACTGTGATTCTTTTTCATGTTTATTAATCTTCCAGACTTTTCTCCAAAATGTTTTTCTTTTTGTTTTGTTTTTGCAAATCTCTTAGATTACTAGGAAAGCCAAGTCTCTCCTCCTGGATTTCTTCTCCTGTAAACTGCCTATTGAAACCTACCCACTTCTCTATGGAGCGTAGATGAAGGATATTGGTCATGTATGTTGAAATATTTGTCCAACTTTATCCCTAGTTTTTTGACTATGTACGGATGAGGAATTTTAATTTGTATATACTTGTAGATGCCTTTAGAACAATGACTGTATCTTTTTTTTATCTCCATTGCTCCAGCATCTAGTACAACGTCTGCAATGGAACAGGCAAGCTGTGAATATTTGTGATATGCATGGGTGGACTAAAGACCCATCGCCTCTCTCTAGAGTGCCCAGCGTGTTGGAGGTAAGAGCTCATCTTCCGGTCTCTTTATCCCTTCCCATACAGAGCCAGCCACCAAATCCTGCAAATTCAACCTTCAAAATGTCTTTACACATCCCACAACCACCACCGCTCTCAGATTTATCACTTCTCACCTGGATTCCTGCAGTAGCTTCCTCTCTCTGGTCTATCTAAGCTAACGCTTTCTCTATCTGTGACCAGGGTTTTCTAAAACACAATCTGTTCATTTCACTCTCCTGCTTAAAAACCTTGAATGGCTCCATAGTGCCTGGAGGAGAAACCTAAATACTTTAGAAAGGAGTTCAAGGCCCTCCATAAAATCTGGTCCCACTTCCCTACTCAGCCCTGCCTCTTTTTCTTCTCGCGCTTTACATCTTCTGTTCTCCAGCTGTGCCACACTTTCAGCTGTTCTGGAATAGACCTTATATTTCACAACTCTTTACTTATTAGATCCATCTCAAATGTCAGACATTCCATGGAATATTGTCCTGTCTCTCTATCAAAATTATCACACTACTATTACCACCATTAGCACCACCATCCTTACCTGGTATACCTCCCTCTATCCTCTACACTTCCTCATTAATTCAAAGATAAGTTTATATTTCTCTCCCTATTTCAACTTCCTGCCTCTATAGAAATGATTTTCTGGTTCAGCAGTTTCAATGAATCAATCAAATATTTGCACACCTGTTATGTGCAAAGTACTGACTCCATTTCTGATACTCAACTCACTTTTCAGTTGAAATTTTGAGTGCAGCTGAGTTCTGAAAAATTATTAGTTTATAAGAGTCTGAAAATACATGCATTTATAAAAATCTTGGGGGATCCTCTTTCAGCTTTGGAACCCCCCTCTGTCTGTCTCTGAATGGAGGAGCTTCTTCTTTCTGTCTTCTCCCTTCCTTCTTGCCTATTAAACTCTCCACTCCTTAAAACCATCCCACATGTGTCTGTGTCATTTTATCTAAACCGGCATGAGGACCAAGAACTGTGGTGTTCCTCCACTCATCAGGGCCCAATCATTTTAGTGCATGCGCCGAGAAGGGAAATTCAGTAATCAGACTGAAGCAATCAAACTCCAACTGGTGCTGTAAACTGAACCACACATGGACCTGCCATTCTTCTGAGGACTCTTAGATCTACCCCAGGAGGAGGGCTAGCTGCTGTTACCCATTCAACACCCCTTTTCAGCAGGAAGTAGCCAGAAAGAGTCGCTCGCCAAAACCCACTAACTGCTAGCAGGTAGTGTGGCATCTCCACAGCGGGGAGTGTTGTAGGAAAAGGGGTTCTTGGGAGGTTTTCGGTTTTTAAAGCATCTCCAGAAAAGTTTCCTGTAAAGCCCCGGCTCTCAGAGCCAGGTCAGCAACCTTTGATATGCAAATGCCGGCCGTTAGAAACTGGGTCCACCCCAATGTGGAGGCCTTCTTGCCCTTTCCCCACATGTTCCTGGCAACATGGCCGCCCCCACTATCCTCACATGTGTAGAAAATCATGGCACCCTATATTTGCATATTAAAAGGGTAGGGTGGGAGGGCCAGCTTTTTCATGGGCTTCATGAATGACATGCCTGGTCAAACCAATCGCCTGAGCCCTATGCAAATCAAACACCGCCTCCTCCAGCATCTGCATGTATACCTGGCTGGTATCCGTGGCAAGGTGGGAACCTCCTGTTTTGGCTTTGGAGACCCCTTCCCTCTGTCTCTGTACAGGGGAGCTTCTTCCTTCTGTCTTACCCTTTCCTTCTTGCCTAATAAACTCTCCACTCCTTAAAACCATTAAAAAAAAAATCTTAAAATAATTAAGTTGAGATGAAAAAAGCCTTGTAAACTTCTCTTGGAACAGAAGATATGAAGCAAACAAGGAGGTAGATAGCAGTGTATTCCCAGCCTTGTTAGCTAAGCAAGTGAGCGGGAAGCAGGGCTTCTATTCACCGGTGATATATTCTCACTCACTGTGTGATGATTCAGTCATCTGGCACAGCGTCCTCTAGTTCAATTAAAATATGTCTGAGTTTTGGTCTAAATATAGTAATAGACACAAATATTAAAATCGTTTTTTCCTAAGCTTTTCAAAAATTATATATTCTCAGGATACGATGGATAGTCATTTGCCTCTGCAAATTTAAGGCACACAATTTATTTGTGTGTTTCCTATTCTCATTGCAACATGCTTTAGGGCTGAATATAAACAAGAAAAGGATTCAATATGCATACATTAATATTAGTAAACCTTTGCCCCTAGTAAAATGATCGTGACTATAAAACTTTAAGGCTTATCATTTTTCTTTCAAGGAAACAGTCAAGCATATTTTAAACATGTCAACAAAAAGTAAATTCTTTCATTTGCTCATTCCTTTCTCCCTTCCAGCATGTGAAGCACTATATAAGCTGCTGAGGATACAGAATTAAACAACAACACAGGTGTGTCCTCTGCCCAAACCAGGCATAAATGAGCTTCCAAATGAACACAAACAAATCTGGAAGGCTTTTGAGGAAGAAGAACCATTACAAAAGGTACAGAGCGAATGTGTTGAGATCATTTTTATCAATCACTGAAGTAACTATTCTCCACGATTTCAATGATTCTCCAGCCAATATACTATTACCCCTCCTTATTAAAATAAAAATGAAAAACCCTACCAATAGAAAGCTGCCTTTCCTAGTAGATTGCATGCAAGTCATACTGTTAACTAGAACTTAAGATACCTTGTTGATTTAATCAGTAGGTTACTATGGGTAAATTCAGTATTAAGAGAAGTGAGGCTATCAATATTACAGATATGTCTTGCATTTTTCCAATCAGTCATTACTTGAGCTAACATTAAAAATCTTAATATATTGCACTCTATGTTTTTTGACCACAAATATAACAATTTTAAAAATAAGGTAACTGGGCACAGTGGCTCACGCCTGTAATCCCAGCACTTTGGGAGGCTGAGGTGGGCGGTTCACAATCTGGAGATCGAGACCATCCTGGCCAACATGGTGAAACCCCGTCTCTACTAAAAACACAAAAATTAGCTGGGTGTGGTGGTGCATGCCTGTAATCTCAGCTACTCGGGGGCTGAGGCAGGAGAATCGCTTGAACCCAGGAGGCGGAGGTTGCAGTGAGCCGAGATCGTGCCACTGCACTCCAGCCTGGCGACACAGCAAGGCTCTGTCTCAAAAAATAAAAAATAAATTTAAAAATTGCAGAACATTTTCTTTAAATAATGTGATTTTTGTCATAAGCTATTGATTTTCTTCCAGGGTCATTTGCCTCCCATCTTTCTTCCAAGTGTCGTCATCTTATGTATTTCACTTTTTATAAAACTTTAAACAGCAAGAGGCCATGCAAAATGAAAAAAGCTAACTTGTATTAATTCATTTAGTCCCTTAAAAACTGTATCAGAAGCTACAGTTGAAAAAATAGTAGAGTTATTAGGAGTGTTGCAATGCACTCCTAAATGTCCTATAACTGATATATTAGTCTTATACTCTTCTTAATCATATATAATGATCTTAGTACTAGCAGACGTCTAAGGTCTAAGATGGCATTTAATACAATTTTGTCTCCAAACTCTGCTGTGGTTTCATCAATGCCTTTTTGTCAGCTCTGAGTTTAAATTTTAATCTGGAACCATAACTGATTTATCCCAGCTGCTGACAGCTGCCTGGAATCTGGTTTGGAGCATCTCCAAAGCCAACGTACTTTCCCCCAAGAAAACACAGGAAGATCTCTCTGCCCAGGCTTGAAAATACATAAGGATCCGGTTTTCCATCCTTTCCTTTAGGGCAACTTTAACATGATTCAATGCCCACTGACTGCCTTTACTCCCACAGGTAAAGTAATAAACAAAGCAGTCAACTCTCAGGAGCTCTCTCTTTTGTCTGCTTTATGTGGCCATTTTCCTTCATTGCCCTCTCACATTCACTCAGTAATCCACCAAATATTTATGGAGCCTTCATGGTGTGCAAGGCAGTGAACTCCACACTAGGAAGAGTGAAGCCATGGAGATCACAGGCCTGGCTCTTCATACCTTTGCCTTTCTGTTGAATTGAACTTTCTGTTAAGTTTAAAATACACAACAGAACTTTGATGATGTTGAGGCCTGGTCGGGGATGGGACAGATAACCAGCCCTTAAAAATAAAGCTCCTCCAGCCCCGCCGAATACCTTCTGAAAGAGGGAGGGTTATTATAGAGCATAACTAAAACAGTAGTGATTAATAATGATAAGAAAGTTTATCTCTTTACTCACTCAAGAGCAATCCTTTTGGGGCAAATCACTTATGATTTCCTTCCAGGATTGAAGAAAGCATGCACAGACGGAAGGTGGGGGCTGGTGCTGGTGCTGAGCCTGGCATGGGGAGGGAGGAAACAAGAGTGAAAAGACTCTTTCATTCTTCTGGCAAAGGCAGCCTTGCAGCTGGGGCCATGGTCTGCGGGTGCTGATCCATCTGCTGGGCAGTCGCCTCCCGAGAGAGCCTGTGTTCCTCCAATCATGCGTATCTTAGCACCAGTCTCTGGCAGGAGCCAGGAGATGGGGAAGACAATTTAAATGATTCACCTAACTTCAAAAAATGTGGATAAGCCCATAGTTTTCTCCCAAACCAAGAATATCTACTCAATCTAAACTCTTACCTGAGATCTCTCTTCCTCAGACCCAGCGTCATGAACTTGCCGTCTAACCTGGCAGGTCAGTAAAACCTTACCCCTTTCAGGTCCTCATCTGTAAAATGAGAAGGTGGCAGCAGAGGTTCCGAAGGCTCCTTCCAAATGAAAACAAATACGCTTTTTACATCAGTAGAATTTCAATGGGCTCACACTTAACTCTGAAAGAGAAAATAAAAAATTATTTGTTTTTCTGTTGGCCCTTTCCTGTCATTTTAGCTTACTTATTTCTACTTATCGACCCCATTTTTGTGTTTCTTATTTCTTCTATTAACACCAAGCAAAAATTTAAAGATTAATATCCTTTAAAACAATTTTAGACGTATAACACACACACACACACACACACACACACACACACCCTGCATGTAGATGAAGCAGCTAGAAATGAAAGCCTAACTGAAACATAATTCCAGTGGTTCTCAAACGTTAGCAGGCATTAGAATCACCTGAAAGATTTTTTGGAATGCATATTGCTGGGCATCAACCCAGAGTTTTTAATTTACTAGGTGAGGTGGAGTCCCAAAATTAACATTTCTTACAGGTTCCAAGTAATACGGATGTTGCCGGTCTGGGACCACACTTTGAAAAACACTGCTTTGTAGCACAGCTTCCAAGAGACTCCAGTGTGTGTTCTGTGTGTATCTTCTCTATGTATGTGTGTTCTGTATGGGTATATGTACAGTACACGAATCTCCAATGTATATTCTTCTCTAATCCCTTAAAGTCATGATGTGCCTCAGGCCATAGTTTCTTCTCTCTACTGATTGTCAGTTGTCACCAAGTTAAGGTGGCAGTGGCATTTTTCTTTATGTCAAAATGCTTTCCATCTATTCCTAACTGATTGCCTACTGATTTCTTGGTTCCCTTGACTGTTTCATTCAAAGTATCTCAAACCGCTATAAAACTTGCATTTTAACATCTAGCATGACATTTTCCCTTTGTTTAGTTTCATTTTCATGTCAGATTAAGAACTCCCACCAACACACATTCTCATTTAATCCCCCAGCCATTGTGATCTAAAACTCTTTGCCAGAAGTTCTGCATGCCCAGAACACACACACGTAAACACACACGCGCACACACACACACACACACAATGAAAGAGAAGCCACTCAAGTCAGGGTAACAAGGTGGAGCCTTTGCAGTGCATTTAGCTAATGCTAATAGAGATGCAGTATAATGTAGTTGTACCAAGTTTCCATCTTTGCCTTAAGCAAGATATGAGCCTGAGATTGTAGAAGAAAGGATTCTGTAAACAGATTTATTTCATGATATTTGGGTAGACAGTTCTTGTTAACATAGAACAACTTTATACTAACTATAGGAAATGTTTTTCAATAAATTCTCCTTGACAATCAATGTGCCCTCAGGTTCTTATCTTCTGAGAGAGATCTATAGAATAAATTATTCTGGGAAGTGTATGGTATGGCACATAAAGAGGAAGGAGTGGTTATTTGTATGAAATAAAAATTGTAGATACTTACATGACTTAATCTCTGTTAGAGTGCCAACATTAAAACTAAGTAATGATTATGAGGGCTTATTAGCAGTCCTCTCCAAGGTGAGGAAACAAGATCTGTTCTTCAGCACTGTCTTCTGCTACCTGCTTGCTCCTTCCCATCTCCCTTTCTGCCTACACAGAGGGTCTTGTCATTTAGCAGGAAGAAAAACGACTCAGGAGCCCTGAAGCAGAGGGCTGCTGCTGTTGCTGGTGATTGATGGGTCTGGGTAATTTCACCTCTGGTGTCAAAAAGATTTAAGTTTCACTTGCAAGCTACTTGCTGAAGCCAGCCATCCATCTCAGCCCTACCAAGTTTAGCCCACTCTTAGCCCTCAGGGGCATTAGACATTTCTTTCCCATTCACAGTTATCTATGACTTTTTTTCTGGTTGCACATGTGTTTGTAGCATGTGGTATGTTTCTGCATGTATGTGTATGTGTGTGTATCTGGAGTGAAGATAACTGAGCTTCTGGTCTCACTAGCCTAGATAGAACTTCAAGCCTGCCTTTAAAATGGCCTGACTATGTCAAATAATTTTTTTAAAAAGCTACTTACTTAATGACATCTTTAACACTTCAGATTTCTGTACATATCTATAATATCTTACTGCTATGGTTTGGCTGTGTCCCTATCCAAATCTCATCTTAAATTCCCACATGTTGTGGGAGGCACCTGGTAGGAGGTAATTGAATCATGGGGTGAGTCTTTCCCATGCTGTTCTCATGATAGTGAATAAGTCTCATGAGATCTGATGGTTTTATAAGGGGGAGTTTCCCTGCACAAGCTCTCTCTTTTTGCTTGCTGCCATCCACGTAAGACGTGACTTGCTCTTCCTTGCCTTCCACCATGATTGTGAGGCCTCCCCAACCACGTGGAACTGTAAATCCATTAAACTCTTTTTCCTGTATAAATTACCCAGTCTTGGGTATGTCTGTACAGCAGCGTGAAAATGAACTAATACACTTACTAAAGATATTCTACTGTCCCACAAAACTTATTTGACACATTGCCTCGACTGTAGAAGCTGTGTTGTGAATTATGACTGTGGGCAGGAGCTATAATGTTACTCTGTGACTTCTGTTAGTATAGCTTGGTGGAGATCAGAATATTAATTTGTAGATTTCTTATGTTTTATTATTTATTATTTGTTTATTTATTTTTTAAGACAGGATCTTACTCTGTCACCCAGGCTGGAGTGTAATGGGAACTCACCACAACATTGACCTCCTGGGCTCAGGTGCTGGGCTCACCACAGCAGCGACCTCCTGAGCTCCCATCTGAGCCTCCTGAGTAGCTGGAACTACAGTGCTCACCACCACACCCAGCTAATTTTTGTATTTTTTGTAGAGATGCAATTT